CTCTACTCTACTCTACTCTACTCTACTCTACTCTACTCTACTCTACTCTATTCTATTCTATTCTATTCTATTCTACTATTTGTTACAGATTGGGTTAGTAAGTAAATAGGGCTGCCTAGCTTGTGAAGTTGGACAGATACTACTTCCATATAGCTTCCAAGAATACTACATGGATATGTCAATGAGTTCACCAAGAAACAATATTCAAAAGAGATTTTATTTCAGGGTTGAGGTTAAACTGTGTACTGTTTCTTGGTTAGCCCTATTGAGTTGGTTAAATATCTGGGAATACTCCAGTGCATCAGGGAGCAAACTAGTCATCCGGTGACTAAAATGTCAGCTTCTCCGAAAAATTGTATAACTGAAATAGCTTAACTGAATCTTAGTTTAGATTCAGCCAGCCCTATTCGTACTATTTGAGTCCTGCCTGCAGCCAACAGAACGGCTTTGAATGAGCTGTATAGGAAGGAATGGTTGAATATTAATTTATTTTTCCTTTGGTGGATTGTCCAAGTTGGCATTGGTGGAGATAATCTCTGCCAATCCTGGGATGTGGAGAAGGAAAAGGCAGCAAATGCCAGTGTTTGGGATTGCTGGAACTGGGACATTTATTTCATAAATAACTGCAGCCTTTTATATTTGAGATAATTAGTCCCTGGCTTTCTGTTGAACTCAAACCAGAACGGCCTGTACCGTACTTTAAAAACAAACCAGAACTTTTACCAAGGTGAACTCTTATTCTGTGGTCTCTTTAAATGATATAAACTGGTACAGTTTGCCCAATTTATTACCAAGAGTGATCTTGGTGTTGCTAAGCATGGGAGAAATTCAAACATTTATGCAAAGTCTTAAAATACCACTCCACTTCTGTTATGTGGCACTTTCTCCGGTTTTTCACTCGGCATCAGGCATGTCACTTACTTTCTGGAATGCTGATTATCTTGAGCTTAGTTTGTGGAACGATGAGTCTTTTTAGGGAGTAATTTAGCACTGCAGGAAAACATGGGATTAGCATGTCCCATTGGCAGAGGAATCAAGATCAAGCTTTCCATCATACCTTACTACTGAAGCTTGCAAGGCTTGAAATGCAGCTACCCAGAAATTGACTGAAAGAAGTAATGGTTGGGGACTGGGACTTTTGACGCTGGAATTAGCTTAACAGAGCCGAGGTGGCGCAGTGGGTAGAGTGCAGTACTGCAGGCCACTTCAGCTGACTGCTATCTGCAGTTCAGCGGTTCAAATCTCACCGGCTCAA